TGGCCCAACGTAAGCATGCTATCTGGGCTGTTTCTTGAATAACAATCATAGTTCGTAGGCCTACACAAACACAGTGACCATGTTTGCCCAGTCAATAAATGGCATTATTCCTGCCGATTGTCACCAATTCCTGCATGAATTATGTATTGTTGGCAAAACATGTTAAACCCCCAGACAGCCCCACAGACAGTGATTATCATTTGTTGACCAGAAAGCTCCTGAAATTATTAACTGCTGACCAAACAAACTGCTGATATTGGGGATTTCAATTCTAATATCAATTCTTACAAACTGCTGATATAATTCGATATTAGGCATAAAATAAAATAAATGTCTGTTTACGGTTCCAAATCATTTTTTTAAAAGGTAGGTCGGTAGGTAAAAAAGCATTTTATAAAGTCAAAAACACCAAAACTATCATTCAATGTGTTTATTTTCTACAACTTTAAACCCCGATACATATTTTGATGGAAAAATGATAGAAAAATATTGTTTAGGAAGACTATAATTTCTATTTCTCGACTTTATTTATGATCTTGGTCTAAAATAAATTAATTTAATATTCTTTTTACAACAATGCTAATAAACTTGAGTCGGCACTTTTTTGGAAGGGTCTGTCGGACTCTAACTCTAACTCTAACTGTGAACGAAGCTGTCCATTTCCCTGTGGATTTCTTGAATTCCATTAATACCGCAGGCTTACCACCACACAAACTTACTCTTGAACTTGGTTCCCCCATCATTGTCCTCAGATCTTTAGACCCACCCAACATCACCAGTGGAACACGTTGTCGAGTCACAGCCTGCCATGTCAACGTCATAGACGTCGTCATCCTACATGGACCAGCAACTGGCAAAACCGTATTCATACCACGCATACCACTCATCCCTTCAACATCAGATCTTCCATTTCAATTTAAAAGTCGGCAATTCCCTAGCCGCCTTTGACAATAAACAAGGCCCAAAAACAGACTTTCACTACCATAGGCTTGGACCTGACCACACCTGTCTTCTCCCATGGCAGGTTCTATATGTTGCCCTCTCACGAGTAGGAAAACCCACGGCGATGTTCATTCACACACAGGACAGGAAGACCAAAAACATAGTTTACAAAGAAGCCCTTGATCCTTAGGTGAGCTACAACACTAATACAATCATTCATGAATTCCCACCGTCCGAAGGATCAGTTTCAGTTACTCATGTCCCAGACAGTCAGGCAATTGCATGAAACTAAAAAGGACGTTCGCGATAAAATCTCCGCCCCCGAAAACCATATCCAAACTGCTGACAAACAACTCATAGAAACTATCACTGAAAACTAAATCTAAATATTCGAGAATGACTCTGCAATGGTACTAGACTCAAAATCCATAGACTTCACACACACGTACCTGATGCAGAAATACTCACCGGCCCTCGCAGTGGACACAGAACATTAATACCCAGGATAATATTAGCTCCATCCGATGCCAAGCTATTATTTACACTTCAACGCCGCCAGTTCCCTATTCGCTTGGCTTACTGCATCACCATCAATAAAGCGCAAGGCCAAACTTTCAAGAAGCTGGGCATTTTCTTCCCAAAACCCGTCTTCTCTCATGGCCAACTTTACGTTGACTTCTTACGTGCTAAATCTTTCGCTGAGATAAAGCTTCAACTGGAAACTACTCACAACCAAACTCAAGGGAAATCAGACTCTGTTTACTACACTACCAACGTTGTTTACCATTATCTATAATACAATA